GTCGTGCGGCTTCTCCTCCAGCGTGGGGCAGAGGTGAATGCGCAGGGAGGCGAATATGGCAATGCACTACAAGCAGCTGCATTCGGGGAAAACGAATCGGTTGTGCGTCTTCTCCTCGAGCATGGGGCAGAGGTGAATGCCCAGGGCGGCGAGTATGGGAATGCACTACAAGCGGCTGCGTGCGTGGAAAATGAATCGGTTGTGCGGCTTCTCCTCGAGCATGGGGCAGAGGTGAATGCTCATGGTGGTCCTTATGGCAATGCACTAAAGGCAGCTAAAGGACTAGGAAATGAGTCAATTGTGCGCCTCCTCCGCACACACGGGGCAGATCCCAGCTCAACCGGCTAGGAGGTTTTCAATTGTTCAACTACTGGTACTCGAATATCTTGTTTCTCGAGCGGGCTCTAATCCTTGAAGTTGTGCCTTTTCTATCCCACATTTCCTCCCCCAATCTCTTTCTCTTGCCATTATTTCACTCGTCTACAGCACGGGAACGGTCGGGCTCCTACGATACTTTCGCACCCTGGATTCCCGGTAATCCACCTGCCTACAACTGGGCCCTATTGCTCGCCGCGAATAAAAAGCTACCCATTCCCCTAACCGTACCCACCCACCACCAAACATCCTTCCACGACGTTCTCCGGAATTTCAAATGACTTTACAGTCAGTTTCCTTGAATGTACAAACCTGGATCTGTAACTCTCCCTCTATATCCGGCCCCCTCTAATACCTCTATCCCTCGGTCTCATTCCCCTGCATCTTGCCCAAAACCTTACACACGACCCCTCGTTCCACACGACACAAGCTGTCGGTACCCATTGGATATCCTAATCTAACTTACCGCACTGATTGGCTCTTCTCTTACCTTACGGGCTTCATTCATATTATCGGCTTTTGCAACAAAACTGGATACACCCCGGATTGTGTACCGCGTAGCTTTGCGCGACATCTATACTTCCCATAAATAGGCGAATCCATCAGCGGACCCCGATAGAAGGAGCAGTTTGAAGAGCGTTGTTCCGGAGGCGAGAAGGGATAAAAGGTGTTTAGAGGAGGAAGGAATTCCCAAGCTGGCCCACCAATTTATTTGTTATCTAGTTGGGTCTTGTCTCGGAGTATGATGTAACAAAGTATTGGAGCTCCTCTTCGTTTTTCCTATATTTCTTTTCCCCTCCCTTTCTTTCCTTTTCTGAGCACAATATGGCCATATTTGCAGGTTAGTTGAGGGGGGCTGCTTTGCAGCAAACCGTGTCTTCTTCACTCTCACCGGATGGATTGTTTGCGGTCTTATTTTCTCTGCTTTTTGTTTTCTCTTTTTCCTGATATATCACCCTATCGACACCTATTCAATTAACTAATCCCTAGGGCTAATCCAAAAATTGTCACTGTACATAGAATTTTCCATCGTGGTACCAAGCTCCCTTCATGTCAAATTTGACAATGCGTATGAATTGATCCCGAGAAAGCATCGCGGTTGGTTTACTGGATTGAAAATGAGTGGACTCGATCGGATCCAAATGGGCATAAAGTTTTGGCTTGGCAAGACTAAACCTATGAACTACAACCTAAGTTACTTTGGTGGCTCATTACGTCCACATGTGAAACGAACTGTGTGCGATATCGAGCAGAGTTACTAAAGCGAGTCGGATGGAGCATATCCCGTTATTTTGTCCCCTAGATAATTCCAAATTCCAGAGCATAGAGGATTGGTCGTCCTCGATAAGCAAGTTATGAATGAGTGGAGGAATTTCAATCTCATTCCTATCCTATATATATTATATCTGCAGCACCCCCCCATAACCCCCTTTTTTTTGCTTCCTACGTTAATTCAATAGACATTTGAATCGAGTATGGGGCCTGTTTCGGATGTCCTGGTTCCGACACTTGCTCCTCATTAATACAACAAACCTGTGCCGGACGAGCTGCCAGGCTTGCGGTATAGAGAACCTAGGGCTATTTCATGAACATCATATAAGTTGCCAGTGCCTATCAAGCATAGGCCCGAATGCTTAGTAATTAGAAGTCGATTGTTTTTTGGATTAAGGACCTTCGACACGCCGACGGCAACCAGCATTCCGCCAGGAGACCCGGGCTGTCCCACACCAATAGCGGCAGGAGCATATTATTTCCCTCCGGTCCCCAGCCGGGTTCGCATTCATGGTGATAACAAATTTAGGTCCGATTCATACCCTCCGTATAACGACGGTCCGGATAACCCCCGCTACCGGATTCGTAAAGCTGAAAATCCGAAAGTGAACTTCAGGCTAGTAGGAGACAGCGGACTTGAGAGATCACTACAGCCATCAAAGAAGAAGCTCACAGCTGTAGATAATCGATCGGATTGCATGATAACTGGTTTAACATCATTCATTTATCCTAGTATCATTTACCAGTGATGCAATTTAGCCCGCGGTCGAGGAGCGAAGGAAAGAGATTTCTGGAGTGCTATCATACCGGGTGAAAGGAGGTTGGTTTGGGGTTAATACCAGAGAATGAGCTTTGGCGAGATCGGGAGCAAGCGATAGGAGCAATAAGCAGGAGTTCATACTGGGTGACCTTCCCATAAGCAATCAATGGACAACTCTTCATGATGGGTATCAGTGTTGACTTGGCTCATTTACTATTTCTGTCGAACCTGTGGTTCCCAACGTAGCATGAAAGAACTGGCGTCTAGTAAATTGTAGTAGTGTAGGGATCCTGGACACACTAGCCGATGTCCCAGCGGAGTGACCAATGTGAAAGGAAGTGGTTTTTGTGTGTAGCGGCAGGGTCCGTCGGGGGGGGGGGGGGGTCAGGCCTCGGTTCCGTTGCCCCTACTCCCCCCTCGCCACTGTGAGAGATCGGCCTTGCTTGGATTGGTATAGCCGTTAGTCCATCATTTTGGTAGTGCTAGGACGGACTACGGAAGACTACCGCCCCGCCGCCTGAAATCCTATGGGCAAAATGACCTTGTCAGCCACAAGGTTTCAACCATTTCTGAGGTTCTTTATGGTATAATATGTTCCCCCGCAGTCCCCCGCAGTCCCCGACATTCCCCGGTGGCAACCCGCCGTCCATGATAGTCCCCAGCCATCCCTGTTACAGTAATTAATAAAATTTGAGATCGCCGGGCCGCCGTGAAACAACGAGTGACGAGTGACTAACGATGATTCAACACAAACGCCAAGTGCTTACTAAAACGATCACACAAGTAGGGGTGAAGCCAAAAAAACTCTTCGCTATTCTCTCTCTCGCTCGCACGCACTCTCTCACCCCCTAACTATCGCGCGCACAACTAACTAACATTTACTGATGGAAAAGACAGGAGTATAATCGCAACCGCGATACAGCCCAAAACGACAAACCAAGTTCTCCGTCCCCCCCCCAGGTACGTCTCCCACACATGAGTAAACAAGAAAAGCTAACAAAGAAAAGACAAACTTGCGCTCCTCCGCCGTGCGCCCTTCCGCTACGCTTCCCCACCGTGCGCCCTTCCGCCGCGCTTCCCCGCTGTGCGCCTTTCTGCCGTGCTCCCCCGCTGCGCTTCCCCACCGTACGCCCTCCTGCCGGCGCCTTCCCACCATGCGCTCTCCCCGCCGAGCTCTCCGGCCGCGCGCTGCCGCGGTACGCTCTTGCCCTGCGCTCCCGCCGTGCTGCAGAAGCGCTCTCCCGAAAACCAGACAAACAACAAACACTCCAACAAGCAAACGAAAGGGAAGGAAGGGGGGAAGGGGGAGGAAAGGGGAAAGGCAAAGAAGGATGGGGAAGGGGGGATGAGGGGGAATGAACAGGAAATGGAGGGGGAAAGCGAGCATGCCGAGCAGCATCTCGCTATTTCCAACAGTAATCCCCCACCGCCCCCCTTACCAACACTGTTTCACCCCATAGGGCCCGCCGTCCTACCTAAAGACGGCTGCCCTCCACTTCACCGCCCGGGACGGACTGCGCATGGCCGTCCCGTCCCGCCCAGGGCTCTTGGCAGTCCCCCCGTCGCCCCGTGGGGCCCCCGGAAGGTTGGGAATGTTGTGATGGTGGTTGCTATCAAAATTCGCAGTGCTAATAGAACGGAACAGTATAGAGAATACTTGTGGTGGGATCAAAGGGAAAAGTTTTTGTTCTTCATCTCTCTCGCCTTCGCTCATAGGTAATGACAGGTGTATAAGGAAAACATCATTAAAGCAACCTAATCTCTCCATAAACCACTACACCCATCTCTCACATTCCCTTCATGTCCAAACTCCTCTGTTCACATCCGTAATAATAAAGGAAAGACATATCTGTGAAATCCGCTTCTAGCCTTCAAACAAATCTATCCTACTGCTCAATCCCGAAAAACACTCCTGCCACTCCGGCAAACAACCTTATCCTTCCACTTTCCATTCCTTCCATGACCAACCACGACACACTATCATTCATCACTTCAACAGGGAATACTACTAACGAGCCAGATAGACCCCCGTGACTCAGCGGGTTATCGCGGTCGCATTGAGAGCTATTGTACATGCACAGACTATGCGAACGGAAACAAACTATCTTGAGAGGATGCCGAGCGGCACCCCGTGACCTCCAACACCAAGCGCCGCCAAACTTCTATATAATTAAAACCGGACTTAGGGTCATTCTCTATCGGAGCAGTGGTCGATTGGGGGGGTTAGAGGTTGGAGGGCGAGTACTCCTCGGGGAGGTTGGCGACGTTATGCTAGGATTCCTAGAGAGAAAAGGGGATTCCCGAGTATACATGTCCGCTCTTTCCTCGAATTTACTTTACACTATGGGGCGGGAGCCACAGTAATGCTATGGAAGAAAAAGTATGGCGGCACTCCGATCACGGTAAACCATACAACATCTGCGGTAGCTTCAAATTCACGCTGGAGCTTGGCCCCCGGAACCTAGTTTTTCTTTTTTTTATTGCACGGAGGGAATCCCCATACACCGTTTCCATAGGAATTTAACCCATTGAACCTGATCTTCAGACAGGTCACCGGGCTAAGGGATTCGAAGAAGGAAAAAGGTATCTATTACAAGGAATCACAATGGTTGCAGAATTGGCGTTTGCAAATGTTAGAGCTCCATAGTGTAGTGTAAAAGAATAATATATTAGTGCAAGACCATAATCTCTAGTCCTAGTAGTGACAAAGAGGAGGAGGAAGCATGAGAGCGAGGGGTGGAGCTGCATGTCTGCTGATAGAAAACACCTCCCGGGGTGCTAACAACACCTTTGGATATTTATTGGCAGGGGGTTGATGGGTATGGAATTTCGGTACAAACCCTTCAAAATATTACCACTTCCCTCCAGGTCCCCCAAAATACCACGCTAGACTTCTAGATTTTGGCCATCCGGGATAGCATGGTTCCTCGAGCTTTAACCAAGGTTTGTGGCCGTGCCGTATATGCAGTAGTGACGGCACAGGGCTCGCGAGATTTTAAGGTGGGAAGGGTTGCCGACTGTCATTTAAATTTATGGCTCCTGCTTATGTCCCAAGTGGCCAAATCTAAGCATGTAATTATTCCTAGAAGGGGTTTAGTTGTCGAGAATTGGTCAAGGTGTGGAAAACCAGATCAAGAATCCCGCCTCGGTAACCCACTCCATCAGCAGGGTTGACCATTAACCCGTAGAAGGGAAAAAATTAGCTAGGTTTGGTCCCTAATATAGTGATCTCTTCCATACCAATAGTATGATTGAGGTCTTTTTTAATCCATTTCTAAGCCTGCTCAACAGCCCACCGGTACTGGAACGGGCAGAGTAGGGGTATATAAATAGAAGGAAAACCTGAGAGTCCCCACTTAATAACCACTGAACCCGACGTATTATAAATTTAATTTGGATAGTTCTTTCACACATTTCGTTCTCTGCGTGTGCGGTAAAGTTTTTATTCATCCTACCCCACAACGGCCCACACCACGTTTTTTGCCGTATTTCCCACCCCCCCCCTCCCGCCGCGCCTTCTATGTCCCCAACTTCCCTTTGAAAAGTATGCTTGTCTACTCCTCCTTCATAATGTTCCCTTCTCATAGCCTCACTTAGATACATGCACCATCCGGCAGTGGTTGGCCAGGATGGGGAGGAGGTTGGGGGGGGGAGTACGAGTAATCTGTCTTGGGTTCATTGTGAGTGCCGAAG